TTTACTCGTTGACCGTTACGACCGTTCACCTCTTCTGTCACAACTGCCTGAAGATTCTTCAAAATTCGCCAAGTGTCTTCACCCCGGAACACAGTCTACACTTCGGACAGATAACTCACTTCGGTTACATCGGACTCAGAAGACCGAAGATGACCCTCCGAAGATCATGGACCACGTCCTACCGCCGACTTCTCACCGATCCAGGGTCTCTAAATGTCTAGCATTGCAACATCAATGACCATCACTCCGTATGCCCACCGATGTTGGGGGCCTCTCTGTTATCATCCGGATCGGTAAACCTGCATCAAGAGATTCCAAATGACACATTAAAGGGCAGATAGTCATTGAACCGACGTAATTTCAAATACCACCCCGGTTCAGGCAACAAACCGGACCGAACTACCGAAGACCGAAGTGGTCAACGACTACCGAGGTCAACGTCTACCGAGGTCAACATGGAACCGAGATCGTCACCTCCTTAAGCAGGTGACAAGGTGCCTACGAGTGACTCTCCTGCTCCACAAGATCTGTCATCATTTATGTGGGACCCCCTGCCTCAAACCGCCCACAAAAAGTCACTTTATTCGAAAAAGCAATACACGGATCCCCATGTATCAACCCGAGATTACTATAAATAGCAGACCCATGACATTTGTATGGGGATCTCTCTCCGAACTGAAAAAACTTGATTAAGCAACACGTAAAAGCCCATCACGGCTCTTCACCTCGGTTCACCTCGGACCGGGGCCATTGTTGAGAAAATCTTACATGCTTTACGTCCAAATCATTCAAAATCATCCACTTAATCTCCAATTACATCGTTGTTACAAATCACATAACAACACATTTATATTGTTAATATTGATACCATGATTATTGTAAAGTCCAACTCTCATTTTTACGGTAAATTTATATTATATTAAAAATGAATTGATAAGTCTAAAAAGAGATATGGATTGAATTAAAAAGATTGAATCGTGGTTAAATATCTTGATATCATAATTATACTGTTTTTAAAAAGATATTCCATAACATTTAGTTCCATAATAATACTACATTTAAATATAATTGATTCCGAATAGCCGGATTTAGTGTTAATCAAATATTATGGAATATCTTTTTAAAAATATCTAATTATTAATTTTTTTTTGTTTCTTATTTATATTTTATTTTTATTGTTGCCAATTGACAATATTATGTTTGATCACTTTGTGCACGCAGATAATTTTTTAAATGTAAAGTTGTGAACTTAACAAATATCTTATGTGGTTCACAATCCATATAAACAATTGACATTTGTCAAAATTTATGTGATAACAACATCTATTCATTGTAAATGCTATTATTTTGTTTTAAATAATTTCAAATATACTTCTATCCATTCCTTATAAAATTCATACTATTTAAATTCGAACATTTCGTACCAAAAATAAATCACCCACTTTATACCACAAAATCGGACATTTATTATTAACAACACATTTTCTATAAAAAAATAAAAATGGCTATCAGATACTTAAAATAAAATCATCAACTTTATATCAGAATTGGATTTATTAGTTTTGTCAACTTTATATCATAAATTAATTAAGTATTTTCTAAAAGTCATTTCTACATTTTGTCCAAAATATTTTTTTTAGCGGCACATAAATGTTATTTATATTTTTATATTTGGTTATCTTGTCTACGAAGAAAAAGATAATATTGCAACTCTACTATGCCAACAAAAAAATGTATGAAAAATAACATAAGTATTAATTTATTATGTTTTACTCAATACAGTAAATATAATAAAAATATAAAGATTAACGATTAATTCTCTATAATTGCTCAATCAAGTCTATATATTTAAACTAAGGATTTTGATAGTTTCTATAATAGACTCATATTTGTTTCCATAAAACTAAATCATCCTAAATTTAAATTCAACTAATAAAGATAATAACCATAAATATTTGACTAAAAAGATTATGTACATTAATTACATTGATTTTTGTTAATTTACTACTTTTAGTCAATAATTAATGAAATTGGCGGGAAAATGTTTTTAAAAGTGAATTATGTTAATCCTTATTATATATTAATAGATTATAAAATTAAAAAAAAAACTTAAATTTGAGAGAATATGTTGGCGTAGTAGGGTTTTGTAAAACCCCAATTCCATTTCCACACACCTCAATTAAATTGATAAAGGCGAGCGCCACCTTCTTCCCCGGAGGTCAGAGTTCACTCTGCAGCCACGGGCGGCGAGCCTCTCCTCGACGGCCTCCACCAACAGCAGCCCGTTTACCCACCCCAAACCAGATTTGAAGACCAACGAACATGGTAAAAAACCAGTCTTTGTACATGTTATCTTGTCGGTTTGCGTTCGTTTTCCAGTTCTTCTTCAAGGATGATATTTAGAGATTGTGTAGTTGAAACTTTTATATCCAAATTGGTCTGTTTCTACTAGAATAGGTTGAATATTTTAAGACAATCCCTTTAGTAGCGCTCAGTTTTGGTCTAAGTGAGTTTCTATTAATCCAAGATGCAATCTTTTTGTTGTTTCTTTCTAGTGATTTGACCTCTATTCCGTGAACCATTTTTTTTTTCTTGATGAAGTACTTGTTTCTGCTGATTCCTAAATATTGGATGATATTTCGCTTTGTGTTAATAATATTATATCCAACCAGTTTTAATGTTTTACCCATTTTTAAATCAGACATCAGAGGTTGTGGAGGCAGTGAGATTTGGGTTCTTGACTGATGAAGAAGTCAAGGGACTCAGTGTAGTTAAAATATCCAACCCGAATTTGCTGGACATACTGGAGAAGCCGATCCCTGGTGGACTTTATGATCCAGCCTTGGGACCCCTTGATGAGAATTCCATGTAAATATATGATATTTTTAATCAAGGGTTGTTTTCCGAGCCAATATATATTACCACAATTGGGTTTTCAAAATTTACATTACTTGTTTGATCTCGTTAAATGCAGGTGTAAATCGTGTGGGCAACGCACGTACCACTGCCCAGGTCATTGTGGGCACATTGATCTTGTTTCTACAGCATATAACCCTTTGCTCTTTAGAATGCTGAGCAGTCTTTTGAACAAAGTATGCTTCCATTGCTTTCAGTTTCGGACAAGCAGAAAGGAGGTGGGATGGCATAGATGTTGTTTGTTTTATTTTGTATTTTATTGCTGCAAAATTTTGCGTTTTCATGGCTTCATTTTAACTCCACTAAAAAACATCGTTGTTTCAAGCTAGGTGGAGAATTATGTCTCTCAATTGGAATTGATCAGAAAGGGTGACATTATTGGGGCAAAAAAAATCAGTGCGCGGCAAAGCCTATTGGCGAAGAAAAACATGGAGTTTTCCTTACCAGATGATATAGTTGCTCCCGAGGACAGCCAAGGGAGTCATACATCACATTCAACAGTACACTCTGACGGTGAGAATTGGTGTGAGGATAATAATACGCGAGCACGTTGGGATTCTTCTCAGCTCACTGAAGCAATGTCAGTCCTAGACGACTTTTTGAGGAAAAAACCGAACAAGTGCAGTAACTGTGATTTTGATAATCCCAAGATCACTAAGCCAACTTTTGGGTGGTTTCATATGGTATGCTTTATGACTGAAACCAAAGAAAGTCCAATCCGTTGACATTTTTTCTTTAATTGAAGTTCGCTAAAATTTATCTTCTAGCAATCATCTCTGCACTTCTATTTCTGATACCTGGAAGGACACGCTGTTTCTAATCAAACTTCATCAGCCAAACGATTCATCTTCTTTTTCTTTTGTAAATATATATATATATATAATATTTGAATCAGAACTCCATGATCTTATGTGATATTGGCATTCTATTTGTCCTAACAAGGGAATCCAAGGTGTTGTGGAGATTTTTTATTTTTCTCTTTTTAAACAATAATGTTTCACTTTGTTTTTTTGGGTTATATTTTTCCTCATTAAAATTCCAACATTTATATAGCGTGAGGAAAATTACAAAACCAATATAGACAAAATATACCGACCGAGGGGGAGATTGAATTTGTTGGAATTCCTTAATGATAACACCCATGAAGCTTTTGAAACTCCTTTTAGATTTGAAAATAATGAGTTGTGGGTAGATCTCAGATACATCTGTAATATGATCAGTCTAGTACACTCTACAATTGCATTACTTGTGTGAAGCTTATTGTTGACTCTACGTTCCATGAGATTTACTTGAGTTTCACAGCCATGTAGGATTTTTAGGAATGCTTTTGTCCTATTTATTAATTTTTTTCCTTTAATATGTTTGCGAAAGCTAAGTTCTACTTCTAGTAAACCAGAGCTTAAATTTTGTGAAGGTTAATAATATGCCATAAGATCAGTTTATTTTTTCCAACATTCAATAAGAGCTACCTGAGTTCACAGTCATGTAGGATTTTTAAGAATGCTGTCGATCTTTTTAGTAAAATTGAATGAATTTTTTTTTTCTTCCCTCAAATTAGTTAGATCTTGCACTCAAGTCTGTAAGTTAGAGGTTTGCTGCTTGAGTTCAATTATTCACTCTTAGTTTCATCATTTCCTGTACAAAGAATTCTATCAAACAATAATATCTGCGAAGAACAAGAAACAGAGAATGTATTTCTTATAATTGTGGCGGATTTCGCCTCATATAGTTGAACATGATCAGAAGGAGAAGCATTTGACAACATCTCTGATGCATCAAGTTATGCATCTTTGATTGTTTCCTGTGGAATATCTCATTCTTCCTTCCTTGATTTTTTTATATAGGATGGATACACAAGAAATCAGAACCGATCAAATACCATTCGAAGCACCTACAGGTCGAATGCGGCAAACAGTGGAGGAGGTGAGGATAAGCCTTCGTCTGAGGTCATAAATGCTAGCGACTTTTCGTGGAAAGATGAGTCTGAGCCTGCTGAAGCCAATACATCTGCAATCACCTCAGATAGTCCTAAAAAGCACAGTAAAAAAGATACAAGACGGAAAAAAAAACTAGCACCGGAGTTGCAGGGCCAATATACTTTCTTTCAAGGACCTGTCTTACCATCAGAGGTTGCTTCCGCAGTCATAAACTTTTGAGATTTTTTTGTTGATTTTTATTTCAATAGACCTCTCGGATTTTGTCGCTGGCACAATAAACTTTATGTATCTATATTTTTTGTTGTTGGCAGGTTAGAGACATTATGCTGCGATTGTGGGAAAATGAACCTTCGCTTTGTGCGTACATAAATGATATTCAGCAGCATGAATGTGAACTTAATGGAAATAGAAAAGGGTACTCCATGTTTTTCTTAGACACTGTACTTGTACCTCCAATAAAATTCCGACCTCCAGCTTTTGGTGGTGAATCTGATTCAGTAAGTGCTAAGCAAATTTGTTTTAATTGGTTTTATAGCGCGTATCAGTTGTTGTGTTCAAAAGTCCTTCAATACTAGTGACACCATCACATTTCTGCTATATGAACACTTGAACTTTTACTCTGGAGGGAATAATTGCTTCTTTTTTGACACCCGGCTTCTTTTATCAAAAGTCTTGTTAATAATTTACAGTGCCTATATAACATCTTATTTTCTGTCAGTCTGTGATCACAACTGTTGGTATATTTTCTTCTTCAGGTGATGGAGCACCCTCAGACTGTTCTATTGGGGAAGGTGCTTCAGTCAAATATTGCTCTAGGAAATGCTCTCGTGAATAATGCTGAACGTTCAAAAATCCTTGGTCGTATGTTGGATCTTCAGCAATCCATCAACGTGTTATTTGATAGCAAAACTGCAACAAGTGAGCTTATTATCGAGCTGTCAACGTATAAAGGCTATTAGCCACAGTGCCACAATGCTAAATAATTGGCTTTTTACTTTAAACTGTAAATAGAGATGTTCATACACATAATGAAGCTTTTCTATGAATTAAATATATATGCAAACTTTTGTTCTTTCTATGATGTTCTTGTACACCTTTGACGGACCTAGGTTCTGCTTTCGAATGCAACTTCTGCCTTTGTATTGTTTTTTGTTCCTGCTGTTGGTAGGTGATACTTCTGGTTTCAGGGTTTCTATTACAAAAGTAAATCTTGTTTCTGTGCTCTCAGAAGCATTTTTAAATGAAATATTTTTACAGGCAGGAGTCAAAAAGACGGTGCTTCAGGAATTTGTCAGTATCTTGAAAAGAAAGAAGGTGTTTTTCGGCAGAAGATGATGGGAAAAAGGGTTAACTTTGCTTGCCGATCTGTTATATCGCCAGATCCTTATCTGTCGGTCAATGAAATTGGAATCCCTCCGTACTTCGCCTTGAGATTAACCTATCCCGAGGTTATGAACTAGAGTGGTTTTTTTTTTGTTTGTTTTATTTATTTATTTTTTATTATGACTCTTCTATGCCTAGAATCTGTCTTTCATGCAAGTATGCACCAAGTAGATGGAATAACTAAGTTGTTTCCATTTGGTTACAATTGTTTATGTAATTATGCAACATCGTAACAATTATCACTAATATCCTTTTTCCCGAACAGAGGGTTACTTCTTGGAATGCTGGAAAATTGCGGAATGCTGTCATTAATGGGCCGGATATCCATCCCGGGGCTACAACTTATGTTGATAGTGTGTCCACTGTTAAGCTTCCAGCTAGCAAAAAATTGCGTTTAGCAATATCTAGAAAATTGCCTTCTTCAAGAGGCTCACAGTCAGGGAAGAACAGTGAGGTTGAATTTGAAGGCAAAGTTGTCTATCGACACTTACAGGATGGGGATATTGTGCTTGTAAACCGCCAGGTAGAGTGAAATGGTACTATTCAATTACGTTGTATGCTTCAAACATGTTTTCCCAGATCAATGTTGTCAAATTGTCACCATGGCGGTATCGCGTAGCTGATTTTTTGACAAACCACCATCTATAACACTGTCCCAGATCATTCTCTTTCCTTTAGAAGCGATCTTCCAGTTAGATCATTGGTCATGTTAAAGTTGCAAGTTGGTTTGTCAACTGAAGTAAAGTTGAAATGTTGTCTCTTGACCTTATGGTCATGTGTGTTGAGTTTAAGCTTCCATGCCACCATATTTATTAGCATCAAACATTTGTTTCATGATTCTCGAGTTTTGATGGAGGATGAGGTCATGCTGAAAAACACGAAATCATGTTTTCTGAATAAAGTTCTGATAGCCTGGAATTGCTAAGCATGCTTGGATATAAATTTGTTTTGTTTTGATTGGATTTTTAGTTTGGGTTGGTTAAATTTGAAAACGTTGGTATAGTTAATTGTTAGTGGGTATATTAAAATAATTTTTAGAATAAAATAATTAAAATTAAATTGATGTAAAAGTAGGAGGGATAAGATGTCATGTGATGGTTAGTTAAAATTATGTAAGTAGATGAATAGTAAATTAAGGTTGATGTTGTGTGTAAGAATGATTGATTGATATTATTTAATTATATTGATAATATTGATGATAGTGGGTTGATTGATTGATATTATTTAATTATATTAATGATAGTGGGTTGAGTTAAAGATGAGTTAAAAAAAGTGATTGAGTTAAAAATGATTGGATTTTTTTGGATCCAATTTATAAACAAGCATCCCCTAAATGGTCTTTGCTTTGACGTTTCTACCTTTTCAACTTTTTTATATTTCATGTTGATAATCATATACATTGTTGTCAAGAAGCTTCATCATGATATGTAAAAAATTATTGCTAGAGGAAGAATTTTTAAGACACCGAAAATATTTGTTCTGAAGTTAGTTTTATATTGCATACAAAATCATTTTTTTCAACTTGCAATGGTTGGTCTACAACAGTTTTTTTTCTGATCTGCTGATCTCTTTATCGGTTGGGATTAAATAATTATTATGTAGCTATTTCATGCGTCTCTTAAAGTTACTTGATTTTTTTTTTATGTGAATAACAGCCTACTCTGCATAAACCAAGTATAATGGCTCATGTTGTTCGTGTGTTGAAAGGAGAAAAAACTCTTCGCATGCATTATGCAAATTGCAGGTTAGCTGTTTTATTATTTGCAGAATTTGACTGCTTTGGGTTTCAGCTCCGACAATATGTAACCTAAAAATTTGAAGTTTTTGGTTTCAGCTCCTATAATGCGGACTTTGATGGCGATGAGATCAATGTACATTTTCCACAAGATGAGATTTCTCGCGCGGAGGCTTACCATATTGTAAATGCTAATGAGCAGTACATTGTTCCAACGAGGGGTGACACTGTGAGAGGCTTGATTCAGGTCAGTATCATTCTTAGTCATCATGCTTACCCACCCACCAAAAAAAAAAAAGAGAGAAAAATAAAAAATCCTGGTCACCTGCATGGTTAACTTTTCTTTGTTGTGATTTGACTGTATGTATATATTCCAGGATCATATTGTTGGAGCTGTGCTTCTTACAATGAAAAATACATTTCTCACACGTAGCCAATTCAGTCAGCTCTTTTACGGATCTGGTGTATTCACAAGGGGTTTACCTAGCGCCAATTTGGAGAAGGTTTCACTGATAGATTCTGAAGGTCAGGCTGAGTCTGTATTGCCTGCAATATGGAAACCAGAGCCTCTATGGACAGGAAAGCAGGTAGAATTCTTGAAGCATGATGCTATCTAGATATGAATGCAACAATTAGATTCGTGGCACTAGATATGTCAGATTTGTTAACGAATTGCGAATAATATTTTCTTTTCGCTGCCTTTCTAGGTTATCACAGCGTTATTGAACCATATAACTCGAGGCCGCGCACCCTGTACTGTTGAAAATCAGGGGAAAGTTCCAAAGAACTATTTCACCGGTAACAATAATATGAACGGAAAGGAAGATGAAGATCAAAATGCTGAGCACAATTTGTTTGTTTGGAAAAATGAGCTTGTACGTGGTGTGATTGACAAGGCACAGTTTGGGAAGTTTGGTCTGGTGCACACAGTGCAAGAACTTTATGGTTCTAACTGTGCTGGCATTTTGCTCTCTGCTTTGAGTCGTCTATTTACAATCTTTTTGCAGGTTACTGTTATCTTAATTGTAGATTTTCTCACTGAAAATATAATTTCGTGCCTTTGTCCTGATTTATGATTACTAATGTTTTTTATATGTGGCTTAGGTTCATGGTTTCACATGTGGGCTAGATGACCTTATAATATTACCCGATTTTGATGCCGAACGGAAGGATAAACTTGAAGGTGAAGATGTTGGTGAAGAGGTTCACTGCGAATTTGTTAAGTTTAAACCTGGGCAAATAGGTATATTTTTTCCGTAAACTTCTTGCTTGTCTGTTGAGCTTTTCCTTTATATTGCTAGTGTATTTGGAAAGTGTGTGCTTATTCGTTTTCTATTTCTTGTTTCTTTGGTTCTCTAGGTCCTGAAGAACTCCAGTTAGAATTAGAGAAAGTGATAAGCAGCGACAGAGAATCTGCCACTGCATCCTTGGACATGAAAATGAAAAATAAATTAACAAATAAGTTAACGAGAGAGGGGTCCCAGATTCTCAAACATCTTCTTACAGCTGGATTATTAAAACCTTTCCCAAAGAACTGTATCTCTGTTATGACGACAACTGGGGCGAAGGGTAGTACGGTGAGTACAAATGTTTGTCATTCATTAAGTGGGTAGCTTCATGACATTTTCGTGTTTTCTGAAGCACTTGTAACCTATTCTTAGTGTTGTGTCTGGAGTTTGAATGATACAAAATAATACCTATAAACTGATGCAGGACTGTGTACATATTTTGGGTCTACTTACCCTATTTGTGGATGTTTATAAACATCCTGTTATGTGTGAATTTTTTAAAATGTTTGTCATTTTATCTTTTCCTACCGATGGCTGGTTTGTAGTTAATTATGTCATATATGCATCTGATGGTAAAACTGACTCGGTATTTTTGCTCATTTGGATAGGTGAATTTCCAACAAATATCTGCCTATTTAGGGCAACAAGAGCTGGAAGGTAAAAGAGTGCCTCGAATGGTGTCTGGGAAGACGTTGCCTTCATTTCCACCCTGGGATTACGCATCCCGAGCAGGTGGGTTTATCACAGACCGCTTCCTAACAGGCCTTCGTCCTCAGGAATATTACTTCCATTGCATGGCTGGTCGTGAAGGGTAAGGCAAAGTTTCAAATTTTTATTTTTATTTATTTTTATCTTTTTTCCCTTTTCTCCATCTATAGCTGTTTATTATCTTTAGTTACCTTGAAATTCTTTGTTATATTTTACAATTTTCCTGATCATATAAGAACACTAAAAATAATGCACTTTTTTTGGGAAAATGAATCTCGAACTTAGAGTGGTATATTTCTTGACACAGGCTAGTTGACACTGCAGTGAAAACATCCCGAAGTGGATATTTACAACGGTGCCTGATTAAAAATCTTGAAAGCCTGAAAGTCTGTTATGATTATACTGTTCGGGATGCTGATGGTTCCATTGTTCAATTTTACTATGGAGAAGATGGTGTTGATGTGCACCGGACGAGCTTTCTGAAAAATTTTAAGGCGCTGGAAGATGTATGTTTTATTATCTGTTCATAATTTTTCCCCTTTGTTTGAACTATTTTAGTTTCTTTGACATGCTAAGGGGATTGACCTGTTGCCCTCTCATTATTATGGTTCAGAATCGAGAAACTATTTCCCAGAAATTCCAAGAGCAGCGCGAGTTCAATAGTTACATTGAAAAATTGCCTGAAGGGCTTGAACAAGAAGCCAGGCGCTTTGTTAGCTCGACTGAGAAGCTACATAAAAAGCGTACTGGGAAAACGAAGGAGCATCAATCAACCAAGAAAAAGGAAAGAGAGCAAAAGAAGTTCTTAGAGCTGATTAAGCAAAAATATCTCTCAAGTCTTGCCCCATCAGGAGAACCGGTTGGGGTCATTGCTGCTCAATCTATAGGTGAACCATCGACTCAGATGACGTAAGAATCGTTCAGCTTGAATTTCTGATCACTCAATATATTGAAAATTGATTACAGTAATTTTTTTGCATCTTCCTCCTGTCACTAATTGATTCCCGAAACTTCTTCGTATTTTACTCTTTAACTCATGTCTAGATTTCAAAGCTCGCCAAATACGAGGGCCATCATACACCTTAATTGCATGGTTGATTATTTACAGTGTAATATTGAGACTTCTCAGCTTCTTGTTAACTCGATACCTTTGTATCATTTTAGACTAAACACTTTTCATCTGGCTGGCCGTGGCGAAATGAATGTGACACTCGGTATTCCTCGTCTCCAAGAGATTTTGATGACTGCATCAGATGTTATTAAGACTCCCATATTGACGTGCCCCTTTTCGGATTGGAGATCCAAGTAAGTTGCCTTTATTTCACACTGTCGTGCCAGGTTTTCTTTCTTTATTTCACACTGGTAACTCAAATGTAGATATGTCTACAAATAGTAGTTAAAGTGTTGAGTTCCTTTCTTCCCCTTATTGAATCAACAAAATAGAATGATAAAACTGTTAAGACATTCTTAAAAGGGTATTATTTAATATTGTGAAGACTCTAAACTCTACAACAGCAATGAATTTTTTTTTTTCTGTTAATATTTTATTTTTCTCAATTTCAGGCATGACGTGGTATCTCTCGTTTCCCATGTGCGGAAAATCAGTGTAGCAGATTTGGTGGAGAGCATGGAAGTCCATGTCCTTAACCACCACCACAAAGTGGCCAGATTGTACCGTCTGATTATCAAACTCAAGGAGACTGAATTCGTGCCGTTGGCCGACATACACGAAACTCTCAAGTCTACTTTCCTGAGGGCATTGGAGGACGCAATAGAGAGCAACGTGAAAGTCCTTGAGAAAATTGTCGGCATCAAGAATGTCACGTCCAGCTCCCGATCACAAGGATCGTCATACGACGATGAAGATGCTGATGTGGACGAATCAAGCATGGCCACACGGGAAGCAAATATTGATGATGATGATGATGATAATGACGATGATGACATGGGGGATGACCTCGGTGCGGATGCACAAAGGAGAAAACAGCAGGCTACAGATGAGGTGGATTATGATGACGTGTCTGAAGATGAGGATGATTTTCACGAGAAGGGCGGCGCAAGTGATGGAGAGGGTAATGTTGGAAAAAAGGGGGAAGATGAGGAAAAAGGAGAGTCTGAAGACGAGGGCCGAGGAGTTTCTGATGCATTGGGTGCGGAGGAGGAGTTTGTGGCGGAAGCTAAGACGTGGGGCAAAATGGGAAATGAAGCAGTGGATGACTGGGGGGACAAGCCGATTATAGTGACATCCCAGAAAAGAGAATGCAGGGCTGTAACGATGGAAGTTGAAGGGCTGTCATACACGGTCGAGTTCAGGCTCACCGGGGAACCTCATGTTTTGCTTGCTCAGGTATTTTATGTGCTCCGCTGGTAACTTTTTTCATGAATCTCGTTATACATCTAAGAGTGTTATCACTGGTGGTAAGGTGAAAAGTGGTCATATTTATATGAGCCGATGTTGTTGCTGCCTATGGCGGAACCAAAATGAATATATGTATCACATACGCAATAAAAGTGCACACACACACACACCCAAACACATACTTATATATATATATATATAGTGCTGTAAAATCTTGAAATGTCTCACGAGGTATAGCCTAATAGAAATAGTGTTGTTTTGCTTATGCATCACAATCTCTAATTTGTTGTTTAGAAAGATAATACTAATAATAACAAAGAAAAGGAGCAAAGGCGGAAAAGGAAACTGATCTCCACACGTAGAATGAGCAAAAGGAGCCATAGAAAGCAATAAAATTGGAGCATCAAGAAAATGAAGCAAAATTCTTGGAAAAGGGAAAGGAAAAGAAAAATTGAGGGTAGTTCATAAGGAGGCTATGCCACAGGACTATCGGGTTGTCGGAGGCTGGGTTGTCGTAATGACTATATTATTTCTCTCCGAGTTTAGGTGATCGGGCAAATGATGCTTTTTTTTTTAATTAACACCATTCCATCCTTAATGTTTAACAGAACGAAAAACCGATAAATGCTCCTATTTGCTTTAGTACTCATCATCATTTAACTTACTTTCCGGCAAATCATGCAGATTGCCCAAAAAGCAGCAAAGAAAGTTTTCATCAAGAGGTCCGGCAAGGTCAGCCAGTGCAAGGTGGTCGAGTATGACCCAGACGAGAAAACCGTCATATGGGACGACAAACATAAACCCAAACGAGGCCTCGACTCTGCAAAATCATCCCCCCCACCCGACGAGACCACCTCTTACTGGGCCGTAAAAGCCTCGGGAGTCGATTTCTCCTCCTTATGGGAAGAAATGCACGAGCACCTCGACCTAACCCGCCTCTACTCAAACAACGTGCACTCGATGCTCCATACGTACGGAGTCGAGGCCGCACGTGCTACACTAATTCGGGAGGTTAAGCAAGTTTTCGACATTTATGGCGTGAAGATCGATTTTCGGCACCTGAGCTTGATTGCGGACTACATGACCCACACAGGCGGGTATCGGCCGATGAGCCGGCACGGAAGCATATCCGAGTCGCTTTCTCCTTTTCTCAAGATGTCGTTCGAGACAGCCACAAAGTTTATTGTCGAGGCAGCTAGCTATGGAATGACCGACAATTTGGAGACGCCTTCATCGAGGCTTTGCCTGGGCTTGCCTGTGAAGATGGGGACTGGTTGTTTTGAGTTGATGCAGAGATTGGATCTCTGAATGTGAAGATGGGAGTTTGGAGATCTTATGTTTTTTCTGTCAATTTATTTACTTTTGTTGTGCTGTTTAAAGAGATGAGTAGGAAATAGGGGTGGCCATTTTAGGGGGTGTACCCTCATTTTTGTCCTCTTTCTTTTTTTTTTTTTTTTTTTTTTTTTTTTTTTTTTTTTTTTTTTTTTTNNTTTTTTTTTTTTTTTTTTTTTTTGGTGATGTAAAGCAAGTGTTGCTTGATACTGTGGTAAAAACATTGTCAATTTAAGACAAATAACACAGTAATGAATCATATTTACTTTACATTACCTCTTGGAAAAGGTTATATGTGTTGTTAAAACATAGTACATTTTATTTTAAAGAACAGTTTTCTATGAAGTGTAAGCTATGATTTATAGTTTTCTACACTATCCTTTTCTTTTCATTTGTCTATGCGCTAAAATGGTATTTTAGTAATTTGGTGTTTCAAATTGTTTGGTATGCAATGTTTTGTGACTAAAGGATAGATTTGAGGTCAACTAGAAGTTGTGGTATGTCACAACTTGTAATTTAATTGTTACCTAATTGTTTGGTAAGTAAAACTTTGAAATAACTTTTTTGTAACCAAAGGGTAAATTTTGGAAAAATTAAACATAAGCTTTTGGAAAAGAAATTATGTTTTTTGAATCTATCTAAACTGTTAATTGAATCTTCTCTGTCACACTTCTATTTATGTTTTTAATTTTTATTTTTATTTTTTTTTTTTGGTAGAAAGAGGGAGGCAAAGCCCAACAAAAGTCAAAACTACAAGACTACGCAACGAGGATAAGCAATTCCCGCTAAATCATGCTCCAACCAAACCTTAACCCCGTTCAACGGATTATACAGTTTAAAGTAAGCAGACGAACCCAACGCCGCTTGTGATGCTAAATGATCAGCTGCATAATTGGATTCCATATAAATATTGTGGATCACCACTTCCCAATTGCGCCTCAAGAGAGCCCTTATACCCAAAAGCAAGCCCCGATAAATCCCTGATGGTTCTTCGTTGTTCAACACCATATGAACAATACTAGAGTTATCAACCTGGACTAAGATTTTTCGACCCTGAAGCTCCCAAGAGAGTTGTAATCCGTGGGATAAACCCCAAAGTTCTGCCCCGATTATTGAACAAAAGCCAATGTTGTGCATGAACCCACCAACCCATCTCCCATGTGAGTCTCGAATGAGGCCTCCTGCTGCAGCTAACCCCGACAGTCTATCAAAAGTTCCATCAGAGTTGACCTTCCACCAGCCCGGCTCCAGCGGTCGCCATTTGATGAGCTGCCACTCCCACACAAGACCTGTTCCTCCTAGTCGCCTATTAGACGAATAGAAGCTTCAATGGCCATCACAACCTTCCTTATCTCCTGCACCCTCACATCCACACTGCAAACCTTCCCTGGAAGTAAATGTAAGACATTTCAAGTAGAAAGTATATTGACAAATTGTAACTAATTATTAGTCTGCATATGCATAATAGCAACCTTAAAGGAAATCCAAAAGTTTCGGCCTGTTTACCCATCGAGTCCAGTAGATATATTTTTGAACCCAATATATTATGGGCCTCCAGCCCATTAGATTGCCCGCAGTACAGACATTTCAAATGCACCTCACCGCACACTAACATAACATCCATCTCCATCAAAAACCCTGAACCCTATTCCTTTACAGTCCTCATTTTTCCATTTGCACCAGTTAAACCCTAAAAACGAAATTAAAAAAACCGCCGCCGCCGCCGCCGCCATGGCCGATCTTCAGGCATCCAATCCCGAGAAATCGAAGAAGAAGAAAAGCAAGTCTAAGGATGAACCAGAGGAGAAAATCGAAAACGACGCCGTCGACTACCTGATAAAGCCCCAGAGCTACACTCCGGCCATCGACACCTCCCAGTGGCCGATTCTCCTCAAGAACTACGAAAAGCTCAATGTACGAACCGGACACTACACCCCTATCCCCTCCGGTTACTCCCCCCTGAAACGCCCCCTGGCCGAGTACATCAAGTATGGCATCCTCAACCTCGACAAGCCGGCGAACCCTTCCTCCCACGAGGTCGTCGCCTGGATCAAGCGCATCCTTCGGGTCGAGAAAACTGGGCACTCGGGCACCCTCGACCCGAAGGTCACCGGAAACCTGATCGTCTGCATAGACCGAGCCACCCGTTTGGTCAAGTCCCAGCAGGGTGCCGGGAAGGAGTACGTCTGCGTGGCTCGACTGCACTCGAAGGTCCCCGAGGTCTCAAAGGTTTCCCGAGCTCTCGAAACTCTAACAGGTGCGGTTTTCCAGCGTCCTCCTCTGATTTCAGCTGTCAAAAGGCAGCTTAGGATTAGAACTATTTACGAAAGCAAGCTGCTTGAGTATGATGTCGATAGGCATTTAGTTGTTTTCTGGATCTCGTGTGAGGCCGGGACTTACGTGAGGACTCTGTGTGTGCATTTGGGGCTTTTACTGGGTGTGGGAGGGCATATGCAGGAGCTGAGGAGGGTTCGGTCCGGAATTTTGGGGGAGAAGGATAATATGGTCACCATGCATGATGTGATGGATGGGCAATGGGTGTATGATAACTACCGAGAAGAAACGTATCTGAGGAGAGTAATTATGCCGTTGGAGGTGCTTTTAACCAGTTACAAGAGGCTTGTTGTTAAAGATTCTGCAGTTAATGCCATTTGTTATGGTGCGAAATTGATGATTCCTGGTTTGCTGAGGTTTGAAAATGATATCGAGGTTGGTGAAGAGGTTGTCCTGATGACGACTAAGGGTGAGGCGATTGCACTTGGAATTGCTGAGATGACGACAGCTGTGATGGCCACGTGTGATCATGGGACGGTGGCCAAGATAAAGAGGGTTGTAATGGACAGGGACACTTATCCCCGTAAATGGGGGCTTGGCCCGCGGGCTTCAATGAAAAAGAAGCTGATTGCTGAAGGGAAATTGGACAAGCGTGGGAAGCCGAACGAGAGCACCCCGGCCGAGTGGATGAGGAATGTGGTTCTGCCGACCGGAGGGGATACCGTGGTTGCCGGCCTAGCGGCAGGTAGTGTGGAGCCTCAGCCGGCCTCTGAAGATGGTGAGAAGAAGAAAAAGAAGAAGGGTGAGGAAGGGGGTGACGAGGGGCGTAAGCGTAAATTAGACGATGTGGATGTTGGTAGTCCTTTGACAGAAAGTGATGTTAAGAAGGCTAAAGTGAAAGGGGAGGAGATGAAAGTAAAGGCTGAGAATGTGGAGTTAGAAGAATCTGAGAAAAAAGAGAAGAAAAAGAAGAAGAAGAAAAACAAGGAGGGTGCTGGTGAAGGTGAGGATGTGAAGAAGGATGAGACTCTGGTAGTGTCCAATGAGGAGAAATCCGAAAAGAAAAAAAAGAAGAAGAGCAAGAAGGATAAGAATGCTGAAAATGTGGACTCTGGTGTCGAGCTTGATGCTGATGATGATGGTGCAAGCAAGAGTGAGAAGAAGGAGAAGAAGAAAAAGAAGCACAAAGATGCTGAGCAGGAGTGAGGATAAAGGCCTGAGGTAAAGTAGTCGATAAGAATGTTATTGTGAGATCAATGTGTTTATCCACAAAGAAAGTCTGGCCTTTTCTAAAGTATTTCTGTCTATTTGAGGGAGATCGTTCATCTAGCTTTTCTTGACTAGAGTGTTTGATCATGGACTTGGTTTAGGAGCGTACTACACTTGATGGTTTTTGATTTTTTATTATTTTGCATAAGGTTTTGTACTTTATTATTCAGATGTTTTTTATTATGACTTTGTTAGTAACATTATCTTGTTATCTGTTATATTATTCGGTGAAGTGCCGTTTAAGTTTACGGCTTATGCCTTGTTGTTAATTGCTATCCCTTGATGAATGCGGTTGAAAGGCTTGATTTCAGGATGAAAGCCATATAACATAGCACAATCCTCATATTCCACTCTGATACTTGGAGAAATGGTTTACAATTCATTTCTTTTACATACTGTGAATAGGTGCGACCGTGCGAGAAACTTCCATTGCGCCTCATCTTAGTACTGTTATCTTTGTGAACTAAAAAAATATTTGCATGTATTCCAGAATCTCTCTCTATTTATGTAGCAATGCTGAAACATTCAACTTTCTAGGCTGCAACCGAGCCGAGTTGAGCATTGGCATTATTAAGCCGCCATGCTCGATTATCTTGACGAGCCTGTCTTGCCAGGCTCGTGGCTTTGCTTGACTCGACAACCAAAACATAAATGCTTGAGATCAGTCGGGCTTGACTTGAATGTGATCAGCTTGAGATTGGCTTGAAAGTTATATAATTAGAAAATGTCTAATGAGGGGCAGTAGGTAATTTTATGTACATTTGAGCGAGTGTACAAACTACAAACTACATGCTCGAGTTCGAATTCAAAATGCTTGAGCTCAGTCTAGTATTTGTGGCTCGATTGCAGCCCTATTTCTTCCAAAATTTTAAAGAACAGTTGGATTTTTAAGTTGAGAAAAAACATTGTTCAAAGCCATAGGGCAGGGCATACTAAACTAAGTACTAATTTTGAGTTTGGTTAATAGTTTTTGACCCGTCTTATACTAAAGATGAGAAAAAAAAAAGGGAAAACAAAAGAGAAAAAAAAATAGACCAAATAACATAATTTTAGGTGCTCAAGGGGTATAAACTTTTTACAAATAAAAATCCATGTTGTTTCAATAATTATACCTAACTTTTGGTCGATGAGTCACACTTTCTAACAAAAATACACATGACTCGTATTTATATTATGTAATGTCATATCTAATCGTTAGTCACACTTTCTAATAAAAATGCATATAACTCGTATTTATATTATGTAATGTCATGTTTCTGTTTATGTTATTTTGTAAAGTATGACATTTAACTTTAAAAATGTATATATATTTTTCTAACAAAGTATGACTAATTAAGCATTTGTTTATATTATTTTATTGACTATGAAACTTGATTTTAAAAATGTATCTATACTTTTTTTAACGAGGTACAACTAATTAATTGTCTGTCTATTAGCAAAAAAGAAAAAAATAAAAAATAAATAAATTTTAGACATGAAGCCCAATTAAGTCGTTAGATG